GATGCTGGAGAACAGTTACGTGCACACCAAAATTCCAGGGAGACAAGAGCTTAGTTCAGTCTTGGAACACACACATATACACACAAAAGGACCTGCTGTCTCCTGTTTGCAGGGCAAGGTGCTGTTTTATTTATTTATTTGTTGTTTTTTTGTCAGTCATGGGGCCTGAACTCTGGGCCTGGGCACTGTCCCTTAGCTCTTTAGCTCAAGGCTAGCACTCTACCACTTGAGCCACAGCGCCACTTCCAGCTTTTTCTGTTTATGTGGTGCTGAGGAATCGAACCCAGAGCCTCATGCATGCGAGGCAAGCATTCTACCACTGAGCCAATTTCCCAGCCCCAAGGTGCTGGTTTATGATCCATGCTTTTTTTTTTCAGTCATGGAGCTTAAACTCTGTTTCCTGGTGGTTAATTGGAGGTAAAAGTCTCAGAGACTTTCCTGCCTAGGCTGGCTTTGAACCATGACCCTTAGATTTCAGCCTCTTGAGTAGCTAGGATTACAGGTATGAGCCACCAACCAGCCCCTGGCACTTTTTTTTTTTTTTTTTTTCCAGTAGTGGGGCTTGAACTCTGGGTCAGCTCTCCAGCCCAAGGCTAGCACTCTACCACTTGAGCCACAGTGCCACTTCTGGTTTTCTGGTGGTTTATTGGAGATCAGGATCTCACAGATTTTCCTGCCTGGGCTGGCTTTGAATCCCGATCCTCAGATCTCAGACTCCTGAGTAGCTAGGATTACAGCACCTGGCTTTTTTTTTTTTTAGAAAGCAGCAGCTTGGTGCCCGTAGCTCACACCTGTAATCTAGCTACACAGAAGGCTGAAATCTGAGGACAATTGTTGAAAGCCACCCCAGGCAGAAAAGTCCCCATGAGACTCTTCTTTCCAAGTAACCATTCAAAACCCAGAAGTGGTGCTATGGTTCAAGTGGTAGAGGGCTAGCCTTGAGCACAAAGAGGGTCAGGGACAACATTCAGGCCCTGAGTTCAAGCCCCACAACCAACCAAAAAAAGAAAAGAAAGCAGCAAAACCTCCTAATTCTACATACAACATAACTGCAATACACATCAACTATGAGCATTCACATGTTGGGACAGACTCAGGGCTGCAGAACAAAGGCTCATGCCATGTGTCATAGCCAAGACTACTCACACAAATGAGCAACAACCCTTAGCACCCAAATTCTATTAGCATCTGGCCAGGACTCATCATATAATTGTCTGTTGTGGTGGTTTTTTTTTTTTTTTCTTTTCTCCCTACTATCAGCCATTTCTCCAACTCCCAAAGGCACAATCAAGGAGAAAAGAATTCAAGACTAGGGCCAAGTCAACCCTACATTATCATTAAAAGTGTGAACTTCAGCACAAACTACCTGAGGTTAAGGCGATTCCTTTGCCCAAGAGACTGCAAGCCCAAAGGATAACTCTTACCTTGATTTATCCAAGAACTTCACAGGAGTAATGAAATCTTCAATGGGAATTAGCTCTTGGTTGGCTTTTTCTAGTTTTCGGATTCTCTTTTTCAAACGGTCTTTTGCTGCCTGATCTTTTTTAGGATCTATCTTCTTCTTCTTGCGCATGGGTTCTGCTCTAATGGACAAAAATCAAACGAAGTGTGACACTGTCCAAAAAGCAATGTACTAATTACCTGATTTATGTAACTGCAACCTCTCTGTACATCACCTTTATAACAAAAAATAAAATTAAAACTAAAAAAAAAAAAGCAAACTACGTCAAACATTTTCCTTTTCAATCACTGCGAGTTCAAAAAGCTCTCACCAGGGTTCCTGGTGAGAACTCTGTGGGTACTATCAACTCCAGGAAGAGGTACAAGGCGTGAAGGAGTTTTGAGTATAAACTAAGGTAAAGTCTGATCTTTAGTTGTGTGATTCAGGTGTACCTTGGAGCTGCCCTGAAAAGTGAACATACTAAACTGACATATTAGAAGCTCACTGTTCACATTTTAAGTGGATTTGGGACTTACTTCTCCATCTTACATCTTTAGCAAAAGTTCTAGTTAACTCTTTGGAATTTATATCCCAGTTGTAATAATATTAAGAATAATCAGTCTGGGAATGTGGCTCAGTGGTAAAGTGCTTGCCTAGCATGCATGAAGCCCTGGGTTCAATTCCTCAGTACCACATAAACAGAAAAAGCTGGAATGGCACTGTGGCTCAAGTGGTAAAGTGCTAACTTTGAGCAAAAGAAGCTCAGAGACAGTGTCCAGGCCCTGAGTTTAAGCCCCAGGACTGGCAAAAAAAAAAAAAAAAAGATCAGTTTTGTGTTTTTTTAGTGCCAGTCCTGGAGCTTGAACTCAGGGCCTGGGTGCTTGTCCCTGAGGTTTTTTTCTCAAGGATGGCTCTCTACCACTTGAAGCACAGATCTACTTCCAGCATTTTGGTGGTTAATTGGATATAAAGTGTCTCAGAATTTTCTGCCCAGGCTGGCTTTGGATCACAATCCTCAGATCTCAGTCTCCTGATTAGCTGGGATTACAGGTATGAGCCACTGATGCCAGGTTTGTTTGTTGTTGTTTTTCCAGGCTGGTCCTGAAGCTTGAACTTAGGGCTCATATGTTGTTTCTTTCTTTCTTTTTTTTGGGTCAGTTGTGGGGCCTTAACTCTGGGCCTGGGTGCTGTCCCTCAGCTCATCAGCTGTAGGCTAGCGCTCTACACTGGAGCCTCACCCCACTTCTGGCTTTTTCTGCTTATGAGGTGCTGAGGAATCAAACCCAGGGCCTCATGCATGCAAGGCAAGCACTTGACCACTGAGCCACCTTCCCAGTCCCCAAGTCTTACAGACTTTCTTGCCCAGGCTGGCTTCCAATTCTGATCCTCAGAGTAGCTAAGATTACAGGATGAGCCACTAGTGCCAGCCTTTTTCTTTTCTTTTTTAAATTGGTATGCAGGTACTAGAGCTGGAATTAAGGGCCTACACGCTAACCTTATCTTTTTCGTTCATGGCTGACACTCTACCACTTGAGCCACAATGCCACTTCCAGCTTTTTTGTGGTTAATTGGAGAGACTCTTACAGACTTTCCTGCTGGGCTGGGTTGGGGACTGTAATCCTTGGATCTTACCCTCCTGACTAACTAGGACTACAAGGCATGAACCACTGGTACCCAGCAACAACTAAAAATGTTTTAACATTAAAATGTACTCAATCAAATTCCTGATAAGTGTCCAGAGTTCTGAATGGAAATAACTATACTCTTTGAACCTCCCCCACCAAGGTAGACAGAATGAGCAGGGAAGATGAAGGGCCGCTTGTTCAATTGTGCCCTTTAAAACACACAAAATTGATACTTAAATTTTACTGGGAGAAGCTTTATAGGTTGCAAATTTTGCTAACCCAACATAGAAGGGTCAGACCCACAGCTGAATTTTACCTCATGGGAATGAGTTCCCAGAAGGATAACAATGAAGCTCGCTGGTGGGTGTCTCTGATCTGTGTCCACCAAGTTCCAGGAAGCCTGAAGGAGAGACGACTGTATAAATATGTGATTCTCCCCGATGTACACCAAACGATACATATACACAAAATCACAGTGCTCGCCAAAGCCCGGGCGTTTTTAAGTATTACATATGACAAGGTCAAGGTGGAGAATTTTCAAAATACGCGATCACATTACATTTTTGGAAGAGGTCTGTAATAGCAAAGATTTTAAGATTTTCACCCATGGGAGACACAGCTTCCTGGTCCTTGAGATAACAGAGGACCAGGGTGAGAGGAAGAGAGGGCGCATCGAGAGGCCCCAGCTGCAAAAAGCCAGCCTGGGCACTCTGCCACACGGCCAGCATAGGTACTTACCCGCTTGGCGAGCGCAGCGCCCGCGCGGCACACAGCAGCACCGCAGAGGCCATGACTTATCCTGCCGCTGACCTGCCGGCGACTTCCGGACGCGCGCCCCGTGACGGTCCGGCCTGCGGTGCCTAGACGAAAGTTCGACAGGCGCGCTGCCCCCCGACTCTCGCGTTCCGGCCCTTTTCTCAGGCTAAGCCTATCCTAGCCCCGCCCCTGACGCAGCCCCGCCCCTGGCGGCGCGCTTCGCGCCGCGCGCGCCAGAAGCGCTTCCACCTCCACCCGGCTTCCAGGGCCCACCCCTACTACGGCGGGCGCGGCCCGGCTAGGCTCCGCCTAGGTTCGTCCTCCCACCTCCCACCCCCACCCCCCGCCAACGGACTGGCCGAGAGGTTGTCACCCTGCTCTACCCGGCCCAAATGTCCACATCTGTAAAAAATGGCCCCGATCTTCCAATAAACGAGTTCGCTTCAGCCTCCCTGCCACCCTTCGAAAGGCTGGCCTGCTCTTTTCTCGCATTTGTTCGAGTCTGGGGCGGCGGCCGAACGCCGGTGGCTGCATCTAGGCGCCAACACGGGGCTGGCACTTGGCAAGATGCCCAGTAGTGCGTGTTGATGTATGACGGAAGCTAGTTAATAAGTCGGACTCGGAACCACCGAGGTGAAGCTGGTGACAGGCTGTCCATAACACCCTGGCACAGCGTGCTGTCTGGATAGCTTATCCCGCCTTGCTGCAACTCCAGGCTCGGCTTGTCTGCCGCTGTCCGCTTCTTCCCATTCCTCGGTCAGTGGCCGCTCCTCGTCCGGATCCCCAAGCGGAGTCGCCCTACGCTGCCCCCCAGTCTGCCAAAAGAGCCTGAGCGGCACGGTCCGCATTGGGAGCGGTTTCCCGCCGGGGCGATTTGGCAGGTGCGCGCCGTGACTTCCGGCGTTGCCCGGGAGCCGCCGGAGGAGGAGCGGCGCAGGGGATGCGGCTGCGGTGGTGGCGGC